ACTAACATTAAATTCATTTTCTTTTCCTATGCACATACCAAATGATACTGGAATTAGTATCTAAAAAGAGTATTGTTTGATGATATTTAAAACATTTGCCATGCATCATCCTGACTAAGGAGTAAAATCTCACAGGATTTTCACTTAGAGTCTGTAATCTCTGTAACAGCCATGCATGTTAAGTTATTTATCCCAGATCAGTGGCAAAATCCAGAATATTGAAAATAGGTTACTGGGTTTTGGTCCAGACCAAATCCATGAAAATGCATTATTCATTGCCCAGTGGACATTTGAAAGACCTTAGAATTGAGAAAGACCATAGAGATCTCTGGCCTAGTTGTCTTATTTATAGGTAAAGAAGATTCGATAAAGTGATTCATCCTAAGTCATAAAATAAATAATGAGAAGATCCAAGACTTGAACCCATGTCTTCTGATTCTAAGTGCCCTATGCATTCTCTACACTATTTTATGAATCAGTTTAACACTGAGAGATGCACTAAAAATCTAATTTAGCTGCAGATTTAAAGTTCTTAGTGGAAAAAATTTCTGCCTTCTTTTTCCAAATGTGCAGTCAATCATTCTAGATCCAAATCTTCTACACTCTGTCCTCAGTTTTAAATCAATGAAGAAATTATGTAAATCCATATCTAACTTAGAGAATTGCTGAAAGGAGTTAAAATCAAATATTATAAAATATTAACTTTAATAAATGATTATGAAGTACCTGTACAAACACTTTACTAGGCATGATGGGGAATTCAGAGAGAAAAGGGGATTGCCCTCTCAGTAAAGCTCACACTGAGTTAGTGCATGAGACAAAAGGCACAATTAGTAGCCTTATTTCACAAATAATGCTCTTCCAGTGTAAACAGTGGGATGCGGATTAGACCTGACGCTGTCGTCAGTTGGTAAAAGCAAACAGCAGCTGTTCACAAGCTGCTGGATGAAAACAGCTGAAAACTGGACCACATCTAAAGCCCTGTTTTCCAGTCCGCTGGTCTCTATGGCCTCATCACCACTTTGGCCATCACTTCCAGGGGAAGTTATATTTCTTTGACACAGCTCTCAGAGAGCTCCATTCTTTTCCTTCATAGCCCTATCTCAGGTTTTAATGATATATTCGCTAAAGTGATTATTTTAGTCCTGACTGTCCTATCAAATCATAATCTCCATGAGAGCAGAGGCCATGTCCAGCTTTGCTCACCACTATATTTTTAGAGCCTAGCATATAGCAGTTAAGGAGTTAATGGTTGTTTGGTGAATTAATGAATTCCATAACATCAAAGCTGTAACTGAAAACCAGAAAAGGACTACATATATCTATATCTATGTCTATGTCTATATCTATATCATCTATATCTATGTCTATATCTATATCATCTATATCTATATCTATATCTATATCTAATCATCTATATCTATATAGATGCTTTCTCAACTGAGGTTCCGCGAAAGAATTAATCCCTAGAGAAAAGGTATGTGTGACTGTTTTCAGTTCTTCCAAGAATGATACATAATTAGTACTATTCCAGATGCATAAATTAGAAGTTCATTCATTTCATAAAAATAAAGCCCTCTAGGGCTTTAGAGCTTAATTATCTTCCAGAACACACTTGAACAGGGCTGGTGGCAAGTTTGCCACATGTCTGTTACTAGTAGACATTGCTACCCCAGACTTAGGATGTAAAGAGTGCTTCGCTTATTAAAACCCATGAACATAATTGTAATTAAGTTTTCCTCTCACTCCTGAATTCCGTGAAAAATGGCAGTGCTACTATGTTCCAAGGTACTAACAATCAATGAGAAACAATGTCTTCTCCATCAATTCTAAACTCACTAAAATCAGAATATTTTCAAATTGACTAGTTAGCATAAACCTAGAAAACCATAGATAGTATAGTTTTTCCTGCCTGTGAAAGAACAGTTTCCTGAAAAATCTCTCAAAAAGAGAATTTCTCAACCTAATATCATTGGTGTCAATGGGGAACCATTTTATGCATTTCCAAACTCCCAAATTTATATTCATATATGCTTAAATAATACTACAGTCCTTTAAAATAGAGGCTAGTTAAAATTAGTAACACAATGCTCCTTTATTTTATAATATGACTGCTTACATGATCTCATTATTTTATAGCTTAACAATCAAACCAAAACATATTTATGATACTTAATGTTTATATAATTCGAACTTTAATGCAAAAAAAAGGAAAGAAGGAGAGGACAAGTTAAACAACTCAAGTGATATCTCATCAAACAAGTTGACCTCACGGCATGATGCACTTGACTATCACTGCCATAAACTCTCAAGCCAAAAGCTGAGAAGAAAATGTAACACTAGACTAGTTGTATCAACTACACAACCGCAAAGATGACCACATGGTGGCTCTCTTCTGGAAGCTCTGGGAGGAAAAAATCCAAGTCATTCCTTGTAAAAGTTAAGAAATACCTCACAAGCTAAAGTGAGGGTTTTAAATAAAATGCCTTAAAAAGTTGAATACTCATAACTTTAATGGCCATATTTAAGAGTATCACTGTAATTTGTCTTAAATAATAGTTTCCTTAAAAATGCCTGTACATGCTGGTACACACTTAACCATCCATTGAATAGGTATGAAAAATATTTTAAATACTTATGCTAAATTATAATTAGTTAAAGTAAAAACTCAAATTATGTTGAAGTAATAAAAAGAATAATAACATAGAACTTCATACAGATGACTGTCCTGACCCACTATTAAAAGATTTACAAGAAAAATAAAGCTCTGGCCTAGCTCTAATTTGTGAGCAGCTGGCCAACACTGACATACGGATTATTAGTAGAACATACCTTTTTCATGTGGCTTGATCCTGAGACAATGCATGGCTGCATTTGTACCATGCTTTAAGCAATTGACTAACCAATCACTCTTTGATAAATCCCAGAGGACATTTTTTAAAGCATATTGTTGCCCAGAGTGTCCTTTCTTAACCAAGAACTAATCTTCGGCTCTATAAACCTATTTTATCAGCAAAATTTTTCTTAAAATATTCTAAGTAGTATAAGATCTTGACCATTGATGATTTATTGTAAATAACTCTAAATAGGCCAACTTTCTGAATATTTTATCTTTTTAATAAAATTCTCTTTAACACAAGTTCTCTTTAAAATTATATTTTTACAAAATTCTTTCTGAAACTTACCTACTTTTCTGACATTACTATAGACATCCATCACTAGAAAGCTATGCTGAGTGAAAGGAGCCAATCCAAAAAGTTACATACTGAATTATTTTACTTATGTGAACATATGACATTCCTGAAATTAAAACAATTATAGAATGGGAGAACAGGTTAGCGGTTGTCAGTGATTAAGGAGGGAATAGGATGGGAGGAAGCAGATGTGGCTATAAAAGGGCAACTTGACAGATCCTTGTGATCATGGAAATGTTCTGTATTTTAATGGTATCAGTGTTAATACCCTGATTATGATACTGTACGATATAGTTTTGAAGATGTTACCTTTATAACATCTTTGCAAGATATTACCTTTGGGGAAAACTGGGTAAAGACTGCATAAAAATTATTTATTACAAATGAGTCTGAATCTACTATTATTTCATACTAAATGTTGAAATTTTTAATTACATTACAAAAAACATATACACGCAAAATTTGGGGATTAGATCTTTACTATCCTGATGAACCTGGCTCCTGATCTCTCATGTTCTTAGATCTCTGGTTACTGTCCTAACAAATATCATTTAAATGAATTACAGTGTGAGTTTTTCTAATGGTTTTGAGAAATTTGGAAACCTTTTCATGACTCTGAAATATAGCATTATAGAGTTACTCCTACTAAAACATAATGATGATAGTTCATCCTCCATTTCAGCAGCCTGAAATCGTTTGTCGCTCGTCAACGCTTTAGATGAGATCGTGGGGGTACTAGAGCTACTAGAAAAAAAACACTGATTCTTCTTTTAGGACTCTTTTCTGCTTCTCTTAATGCAAAACATCTTAAATAGTACCATATAATAAATTCCAATTTTCCTTTTTTTCCCTTAAAGTGATTTATTTCTCCTATAAGATACATACCCAAGAGCTTTTATTAAAGCTTATAAAAGTCAACAAGGGCAAGAAAAGGCATTCAAAATATTAATAGCTCTATGTTAAAAGGAAAGAAATATTTTTACCAAGTCTATCAACTAAAGCCAGGTAGAAATTGAAACTTAAAGACTTCAGAAATTTCTCCCAAATCAGCTTTCCCACTCTTTGTACCCCCTACATTGTGTCTCTTCTGTAGAAGTTCTGAAGAAACACAAAAGAATTCTGTGTGTTCTGAGTTAGAAAAGAATAGTTGTGGTTTGTGTTTAATGACAGCTTAGTTGTTCAACTTTAAAAACCATGTAATTGTCATGAATTCACTCACAAGTATTGCATAAAATAAGTCTATAAATTCTGTGTTAGTTGTAATTGGGTCTATTAACCACTGCCTAAATATTTTATTTTTATGCAGTTTTTAAATCAGTATAGTTCCCAGAATAAATTTTTTTTAACTATAGAAAAGATACGTTTAAAATAAGCATCTTGAAATAAGTTCCAGAGAGAAAAAAAATTTTTTTAGAATGAACAAGTGACTATTACCAGATGATGGTTATTTTGCATCAAAAACTTCTAAATGCCCATTGTCAAGGGAACGTGAAGCTAAGGTATTTACTGAGAAGAGGGAGATAAGAAGGAAAACTTCTTGGAGAAGCTACCTCTTAAGATGGGTCTTAAAGAAAGCAATGGGCATGAACTGAAAGGAATCACAAAGTGTCCTTTGCTGGATGAAACTCCAGAGCTGCGCCATCAAAATGCAGACCTTCACAGGGTACCCAGGATTGCCAAGCTGGGAGCCTCCCAAACTGAAAGTGCTAATCCTAAATACTAACTTCTTGTCCAATGTGCGTTCTAAAAGGCCCTTTAGAAACATAAGGATCGCATTTCAAAAGCCTAAGACAGTTTGTCACTTACATTGTCCGGTGTTCACTACAGCAATCCTCAGAGGCATCTAAACGTACTCCTCGGCACCTGTCTTGCCCTCTCTTCACTGCAGTCGTCTTTTGTACTGCTTCCAAAGCTCAAGATCAACAATGGCAAAGGCATAGGAAAAGCATATATTACCAAAAAAAAGAAATATTTCTGGTTTTTCATGTTTCTTAAAATCTGCATAAAGGTAAAAAAAAAAAAAGTTGGAGCACAATTCTACCTTAAAACCTACTACCTGCATATATAAATGGTTATTAAGTTTAACCAACATAAAGTTTTAGTTAATTAAATCTTAAAATCTTTTTTAAAATTTTATCTTCAAAGTCAAAATGACAAACATATTGAAGATATGTACATCACTCTGAGGAACAACAAATGATATTTAATATCTAACCAGAGATATAATTTCAGTCTAATTAGAATCTTAAAGAAACCATTGATTGTTAAATATGCAGCCAGGTGACTACCCAAAAGCTGCAGTGACTGGATTCAGATTCTGATCGACCGCAATCCAAGTCCACACTCTATTCCTTTGCCTTTTAATGCAGGCCAGTCATATTAATGTTCTGGAGTAGCTTTTTTTTCCAGTGAAAATCTTATGAATGAATTTCCACGATGGAAAATGATCATTTCTGTGTCATAAAACAATTTTATCATAGTCACCTTGCTTAGTAACTACACATACATTTATAGTTTTAAAGTTGTCAAAAACCTACCACATGAACATTTAAAAATATTCCATAATTACATTCCATAAGAGACTTCAGCTGATCTTCTCTGTATTTTTAGTGCTAGAACCCTAGGAAAGCTATCTGAAAATTAGAAATAATTAACTAATTTAGCATTTGGACTTATGAAAAGTAATAAATTCACCTGAGTTAAAACCTGCAGTATATGTAAAATTTATAGTATAAATGTATCTACCACTACTGTAAAACTCTTCCTTGTACTTTAGAACCACAGCTTAGTTTATTACGATGTTTTAGACTTCTTTTTTCAAGGAATAAAATATTCACTGGTTATCAGACTTTTAGGGAGTTCTCATTCTTTCCAGTGCACCAAAGTTGCATTTCTTACTTTCTAACCCCAGGATGCACCAAATATGAAACCATTACAGATTCAAATGCCCATTTAGAGAGCATTTAAGCATCTTTTTAAATCTAATTTTCAAGAGTGAATGAATTATAATTATTTTTCCCCCAGTAAAATTAATTTCTCGATTAATTTTGTCATCAGCTATTCCTATTACCCTATCACCTCTCTGTGCTAAGTGACTTTTCTTGGTGCACTAATACATTCGCCATAACACTTATCACATAATATTAAATTGTCTACTTAGTTGTATATCTCTTCCACTATACTCCAAGTTCACTGAGGGCAGGGGCCATGACTGTTCTTCTTTGATTTCTGGCCCTTGGGAAAAGACCAATGCACATTTGCTGGGCTGTTTTTAAAACTGCTTTGTCTTATCCATTAATGGAATCTCCTTTTTGGCAGGGACAGTGCTATTTTTTTTTTTTTTTTCTTGTCACTTCTTTTATATGGTACTTTGTAAACAGAGAATCGCTGGTTATAGGGTTGACTCCTTAATTCAGAAGTAAATCCATAAGAGTTCCAGCCTTTGAGTGTGAGCCAAGAGACTTAAAAGGAAACAGTGACTCAGACCAAAGGAGTGACTGTTAACATCATTTCCCCATCCATTGTACCCGTCTGTCTTCCACCAACTCAAGTGATAGTTACTCTATTAAGTTCTAGGATAACCCAACTATTAAGAGTAAATTATAAGTCAGAAACATTTCTTTCCTATAGCAAGTCATGCATCAATAAAGGAAACCTCAAAGAAAGAGGAAAGTTCTGCAAACATAAAAGGGTTCCTAAATAATTTGTTCTTAAGTTATAGGAATTAATATTTTTCCAGTCAAGTTAAATGAGTTTATTTCCCAAAATCTTAATGTGGTTTGAGATATCTTACCAGCCACAAAAAAAACACAAAAAAAAAACCTCAAAATTAAACTCTAAAGGCACTATGTTGAACAAAAACTAGCTTCTGGAAGGCAGTTATGAAGGATTAGCTAGAAATATGCTACCTTTCTGTTTTAGTAGGTGTGGCACATATCTACTCATAGTCCATCTAACTGCTGAATTGCTCCTGACTTTTTGTTCAGACAGGTTGACTTTATGGTAAAGGATTCTTTTGTCTCCCTCGTTTGTTGTGCAACTTAATATAAGAGTATGTAATTGTAATTGGCATATGGAACTGGATACTCCCTCCTGGATACTTGGGATTTATAGAAACCCAAGAGCATAATAAATGAACCTACATTGGCAATTATATTATTTAACTTATAGAGCAACTAGAGATTCTTTTTTGAAGAGAAGCTCTTAGGTAGAAATGGCCAGTGGACTTAATATTTCTCTGCATCTGAAATTTGGACACTATTGTGATTCCTTAGTTCACCCTCTCCTCACACACCTCCCTCATAAATTGAACAGGTTTACAATTTTGCATGGATGTGAAATTTTGCAGACAATTTTGCAGAATTGTGTGGAGTAAATGTCATCCTGTAATATTCCCTGGATGCTAGAAATGAGTAGACAATGTTAAAGTCTTCCTCATTACTAAAATAAAGTTAAAAAAATTTTTGTTATCCAAAAGGGATGGAAAATAAATGGCATGCTTAATTAAATGTTCTGAATAATTGAACAAAGGGTGTTAATTGGATCAAAATATATTAAAATTACTTATGGGGAATTTGAGAGTTTTTTTAGAAACAAAAATGAATACTAAGATTGTATTACTTTTTCCGCTAATCTATAAACATACAAATTATGTAGTCAAGATTGAATAAATAATTATACCTACATAAAAGTGTATTCCCAACAGCAAAATAATTAATATTAATTAATATTAAAATAATGTATTGTTAAATGTAAATATTTTCTTTTTTTCCCCCTTGACTTTTAGAAATGGAAATGCCGACAGCAGAAAATCTTCTCAATATCTGTAAGTTCATCACCAAAGACTTCTTTTCTAGTGAATCTTAATTCCTTGGGTGGCAAAAAGACCTCGTCTTTGTAACGGGAAGCTTGCTTTTAGAAACTTGTGTGAAGGTGACTGTAGTTGGCCTTAAAACAAATGATATCATGGACTTAAAATGAGAAACACATTATCACATGCCAAAATGGCAGAGGGGATCTAGGGGTAATTAAGAACTTAGAATCTAAATCCAGCTACACATCAGTTTGGAGCCCCAGATCTGCTATTTACCACTGGACGAATTTATACAGGTTATTTAACCCCTCAAGCCTTTCGTTCCAAGTTGTGGTGAAGAGAAAAGAATGTAGCACAAGTAAAGTACCTTCAAGAATTAAAATGCTAATGTCACCCCAATAAATTTAATAAAGAAACAAAAAGAATTAAAATACTCCTGTCTTTTCCAACTGCATAGCTGTGTGAGGCCAGATTTTCTTCATATAGTTTGACCAAAATAACATATCACATTAGATTGAAACAAAAAGTAGATATAAGAATTGAGCCATCTTTTATTAAGACAGACTTGCAAAACATAGAACAATGCTACTCTTTCCCTAAATTACACTGTTTTGCAAATATCGTTTTTCAAATAAAAATGTCTAATTTGTGCTTTAAAAAAAGGTTATATAGCTCATCATAAGCACTCACTAGATGTCAGCTGTTTGATTTCTATTGTGCCTGTGAAAACTTCAGGCCGAGGGACTCACCATGGACTTCTGCTGCTACGCGCAAGCCCAGGGTGCCCAGAAGGAACCTGCACTAGGGGCCGGCAGCCTGCTTGCCCGCCCAGGCTTCCGCTCCATTCTCCTAGCAGCCGCCCCGGGACATGTGACCCCCCAGGGCTACCACAGCCTGGCCGCCAGGAGCGTGGGCCCTTATCTGCAGAGTGAGACCCACTGGGGTAGCTAGACTAGCGCCATCCCCCTCCAGAGCCGGGTGACACTGGCCCTGCCGGCTCTTACTACCCTTCACTCACCGCATAATTATTTCTGAGCAACCTGGGCAAAACTTAAACACAAAGCTGTATTAGATTACTTTGCTCTCTCATATATTTTGACTGAACAATCCTCAAATGACTTAATAAGACATCTTAAATCACTTATTCCACTTAAAACTTCAGTACTGATGTAATCAAAATCTACAATTAGGAATTTGAATAAAAGCAGTGGTAAGAAAGATATCAGTCAATTTATCTAAATAAATTTAGCTGGGGCACTAAACAACCATCTAGATCAGTATTCTGAATTTGACTTGGCCTGTCTGAGATTTTGATTGTACCTTAAATGAAAGGGGAGAAGAGGCTGGCAAGCAGAACCAAACAGGGTTAAAGAAAAAACAAAGTTTTGTTACATGACATAAAGTATTTAAAGTGCAGCAAAAGGCAAAGTAAAAGTTAGAAGAACAGGGAGGCTGTAAGAACTTGGTAGATTCTCTGGTGCTCCTGAAAGTATCAGCCAGAAAATCTTCATTATATTCCCAAATCCTTGAAATTTACCGTAGGACCTCTTTTTACATAACAAAGGTAACAAGGTGCTGGGTAAGATTTCAGCAAGGTAGTAAGGCAATACTGCAGAGATAGCAACGGAAAGCTTAGGAGAGAACTCAGAATGGCCGGTGATGAACAATTAGAAATTAAATTAAAATTCTGAGTAAGAGCAGAAGCAGGGAAGTTAGAGTCACCCAGGGGAGGTCCGCAGAGCTCACGGAGAAGCGTCTTTGTTTTTACATTCCTCTGGAGGAAGCTGAATAAAAGCCAACTTCCTTTAGGAGTTGTCCAAGCAGAAGGCAGGATAGGCAGGAACCGGGCACCTTTGGGCTCCGGATTGTTTGTTTTATCTTCTGCAGGGGCTATGATTAGGGAGTGGAAAGACGGGGAAAAGAAAAGGGAGTTACATTCAATGAGTCAATATGAAAGTTCTCCCATCACAAACAGCAATCACAAAGGTGCTGTTTCAGCTACGTGATTTTTGTGAAG